CCTTCTTTGTCTTTAAAGAGTGTTGTCTTCGCACGTGTCAATATCGTTTAAATCATTAATGTTTTTTATTTAGATGCTTCAGGACAGTTCATATATATTGTTTTCTGTCGATTTGTTAAATCGCAAATGAATTTTAAATTGTGTATAGTTTGATAAAAATAAAGAGAAAGAAGAAACAAAGCCAAATGCAGTGTTCGAGCAGGGTAGTTACCATTATAGCTAAATTTGATGAAGATTTATATTTTAAATTGTTTTATATATATAATAAAATTGAATATAATTTATGAATGGATCTTTCAGATTAAACGCTCTTCAAATGAGCGTTTCCATATACTGCAAAATAAATAGTTAACTTAGTTCAGTATAGCAAAGAATGGATTCCTAGCATAAAAATATTCAACATAAATCTAGCATTATTAGCATTAAGAATAAATTACAAATATATTCACCATGAAGCGAAGTTTGGATGGACGAAATATCTCTCAGGTAAATAATTATATTTAATCATTTTTACAAAATTGTAATAAATAGAAATAAAAGAAGCATTGATATTATTTTACAGGAGGAGATTGATGACCATGATCCTTTACAAACACAACAACAACAGCAACAACAGCAACAACAAGATGAAACTGAACAGCAACAACAATTAGAACAGCAAACTGGACAACCTCAAATTCGTTTTTTAAGTGCAAATGTTTTGCAGCATTTACAGCAACAGCAAGATGTCCAGCAACAAACACAACAACAACAACAACCACAAGTTATTACTTTGCAGCAATTGCAAAATTTTGTGCCTTTACAGACTCAGCAATCACAGCATGATCAACAAAGGGCACAAACTATTTCTGTGCAGTCTTTACCTCAACAATTTTTACAGGTGAGAGATGCATCTTTTTAATAATAAATAATTCAAATGTTTTTTTTTAAGATATAATAATTACTTTAGGGTGCTCAATTGATTAGTACTCAAACTCAAGCTGCGCTTCAGCAACAACAACAACAAACACAGCAACAGCAAACACAGCAGCAACCACAACAGCAGCAACCACAACAACAACTCAGTTATAGTGTTATACCACAGATGCAAACTGTTAACATTGATGGTCAAGAGGCACTTTTCATTCCATCTTCTGCCATGTCTGCTGCAGGAGGACATCATCAAAGTCAACCTACAATGCAATTTGCCACTGCTAATGGACAACAAGTCCAACTTGCTAGCCAGCAAGTACAGTTGGCTAATGGTCAAACTATTATTACACCACAACCAGTTAGTTTAATAAGAGCACCAAATGTCTTTCCCACTTCTATTATACAGAATATCACTGGACAGACTGTACAACTACCAACAGGTATGTATATTGTTTTTATAAAATTATTTTTATAATTATTAAGATAGTGCATTTAATTCAATGTTTTTTATTGTAAGGACAAAGTGTACAAGTTAGACCACTTCAATTTCCTATGCAACATGTTCAACAAACTGTACCTGTGCAAGTACCAGTTACAGCTAGTAATGGACAGACAGTTTATCAAACTGTTCATTTTCCTGTTCAAGCATTATCCAGTGTTTTTAATGTGCCTGCCACACAAATGATACCACAAATCACACAAGTATATTGATTACATAAATAAGAATTTATAAATAACAATAAATATATATTATTTAAAATAAAATTTATTTGTAGCAAATTCCACAAGTGGCTCAAATAATTACACCAAATGGACAAATTCAACAAGTTCAAATTGCTAATTTACCACAACTTCAAAGTTTACAGGTAATTATAAAAAAAATAATGAAAATTATAAAAAGAATTATTATATCATTGTGCATGATTTTATTAAAACAATTTTGATGTAAGAGTCAACAAGTAACGCAAGTAGCACAACAACAAGCACAACAACAAGTAGTGCAACAACAAACTCAACCACAAGTAGTACAGTCTGTACAGCAACAGCAACAACAACAACAACAAGCAGCGCAAGCTCAAGTACAACAACAACAACAGCAACAAGTACAACAAGTTGTACAACAAGTAATACAGCAACAGCAACAACAACAAGTTCAACAAGCACAACAATCATCTGCCGCACCGTCATCAACTGTAGCGACTTGGAGCACAACAGTAACAACTCCAAGTAATGTCCAGGTAAAAGATATATATTAATATAAATATTTATTTTAAATTAAACTTTTTAATAAATGTTATATTATATTTTTTATAGGTACTTGGAATTGGTGCACTTGGAAGACCAATGCAAGGAAACAGTAACGTAATTACTACGAAAGATGGACAGAAAATTGATGTGCAAACACTGTCGGCTTTAACAAGACCACCGGATTCGGTCGAAGGTGATATAAAAGTAACCAGTATTGATGCCAGACAATTAGCTAGTGGTCAAGTTATACATATTCCTGCTCAATCAACACAACCTGCTGTTCAACCTATAACAATTGCAGGTATGTATATTACATTATATTACATTACATTACATGATTATATTATTATATTATTTTTTTTATTTATATTTATTTATATTTATAAAAAAATTATTAATATTTTAATATATATTAATCATATTTTATAGGTACACAAGCCCAACAGCTAACTTTAATTCCTGCATCTGCGTTAGCAAATTTAACTGCCCAGCAAGGTAACATGATAAGGGGCGTTGGTAGTGGAAGTATAATGCAACTTCAACCTGCCGGCGGAATGAATGCGACAAATGGTTTTCTTCAGTCGATACCTGTGCAAAATATTCCAGGTTTGGGTAATGTACAAGTTATACCTGCAAGTGCTCTTCAGCCTGCTACTGTTCAAACGCTACCTGCAACAGCAGCTACACCTATTGTCGCTGCTCCAACCGTGCAATTAGATTCAAATGATCCAACAAAATGGCAAATTTTGCAAACTCTTCAGTCAAACAACACATTGGCAACATCTACTCCTACATCACATCAGCATCAAGTAACAACTGCAACGTCTGCGAATATTGAAACGGATTCTAATAAGCAACATCGTAGGAGAGTTGCTTGCACATGTCCTAATTGTGGTGATGGTGATAGGTAGAATTAAAAAAAAAATTATTATTTATTCAAATTTATAATATAATTTTATAAATTTAAATTATTTGATTAGGAATAGAGATATGACTAGAAAAAGGCAACATGTTTGCCATATAGCAGGCTGTAATAAAGTATATGGAAAAACAAGTCATCTTCGGGCTCATTTAAGGTGGCATACCGGAGAACGACCATTTGTTTGTAGTTGGATATTTTGTGGTAAGAAATTTACTAGATCAGATGAGCTTCAGAGGCATCGTAGAACTCATACTGGCGAAAAAAGATTCCAATGTCCGGAGTGTACTAAAAAATTTATGCGATCAGATCATTTGACGAAACATATAAAAACACATACGAAGATTCGAAGTACGGTAAGAAAAGTTATGGTTTTATTGAAATTAATTTGATTTCTAGATGAACAAAAAAATGGATTATATTGGATATACTAAAAATTTATAATTTTGAGATTATTTTTATGTTTTTTTTTGTTTTTGTTTTTTTTTTTTTTTTTTTTTTTTTTTTTTTTTTTTTTTTTTTTTTTTTTTTTTTTTTTTTTTCTCTCTTAATTTAGGAAGCCGCTACTTCGACGCAGGAAGGTTCTTCCGACAGTCAATCTTCCACGGAAGAAAAAATTATTATTGCTCTCAAAGAGACGGAACAATCTGATATCGTTATTTCCGAGCAAATAGATGAAATAAAACCTCAACTGGCGAATCATGTAACAAATGAATAAAAAAAAAAGAATCATGTTTTTCTCCGCCTTTAAAAGGTTTAGGAATAAAAGAACTTGTTAAAACATTGATTGTTATGTTAACAACGTCGAAGAAAAATTAAAAAATCTAAATAGTGTTATGTTGATTATGGCGGTTTGCACAGATCTTGCAATTATTTTTTGCAATGAAAAAAAAATGAAACTTTTTACAGGGATTATCATAATTCTCGATATAGTAAATGATCTATTTTTGTATTAAATGAATTTTGTAAATATGTATAATAATTGTATATTAATTGTAAAAAGGAAAATTTTTTGCACAAAATGAATTTTACACTTATAAACGGTTTTTGATTTTATGTGATTCATAGAAATTTTCAATCTTTCTCCTTAATATAGTGAAATTTTTATAATATATAGGGACAATAATATTATATTTAATTAATCTTTTCAGGTATATTATTTAAATAAAATAATACATAGAAAAAAAAATAAAAGGTAAGATGTTTAATTGTTTTTATTTATTTATATAAAAGCAGACTTTTCTTAAAAAAGAATTTTATTTCATCACTTTTATTTGTGTGTTAATATATGATTATATTTTTTATGAATAATAATTTCTAGATATTTTTATATATATATTTTAAAATAGATATTTATATATATATATTCATATCATTTTTTTTTCTTATATTTTTAATGTATTATATAAAACATTATTATTTTACAGTGAAAAACAAAAATGTGTATTTTATTTTTAATTTTTTGAAATTTTAAAATTATTACTTTTTCAACTTTTTAATATATTAAAAGAAAAATAAAAATTATTTTTATTATTGCAACTATTATTTAATTTCCATATTTTTTTTACATAATATAAATTACATAGTATAAATTACATAATATAAATAAATAATAGAATTAGAATGAATAAATAAATGATTAGAAATGAAATGTTTAAAAATGGATATATATATCTGAAAAGCAAGGATACGGATCTTATTTCAATAACCAATGGTGTTATAGTTACAAAGGAAATAAGATATGTTCTCATTTTGATGGTATGACTTTAAGAGCTTTCAGGTGTGGTGCATTCAAGTGTATTCGTATGTACTGTTCGATCGAATATGACTCGTCAATGGTATAAACAAACGCTTGAATTTTATCGAGATGTACATTAATTTAATCATTTGTACGTGTGACGAGTTTATTTCAATTTATATTCATTATAAAAAATAACAGTGTATCTGAATATTTCGAGTCTGGAAAATTTTAGAATATTATAGATTCAATTCGTTTATAATGATTCAGAAATTGATATAAAGTGCGGTAGTTTCAAAGACCGTTCTCTTCTGGATATAGAATCATTTTGTTAATTTTAGGTAAATAGTTTATAATTTATCATATCATATATAAACATTCAACATATGTTCTTAAATAATCATAAAACTTACAATACGAATGTAAAATATTGAAGAAACTATTGAAATTATTTTTGTGCTAACCTAATTGTAGTGTTTTCTATATAGGAAGTCTAATCTTATCTTATAAATATGCTTCAGCCTTTGTATATTATACTATTAATAATTTAATTATTTATAAAAATGAATTGAAATTTATTTAAATTAATTATTTTGTTTTTATAATATATTTTTATCAGGGATAGTAAATATTTCTGTAAAAATTAAATATAAGGATGCCTGCACCACCTCCACCTCCACCTCCTATTTTCAATACATCTGGATCTAATGTAGGAAGTCAAGATAGAAATTTACTTCTTCAATCAATTAGAGCTGGAAAAACCTTAAAAAAAACTATAACAATAGATAAAAGTGCACCTATAGTTAGTGGTATGTTATAAAATATACTTATTTTTTTATAAATTATGTTTATCATATAATAATTATTATTATTTTAGGTAGAGTAAAAAATGAATTAGGAAACTCTTCTTCCTTGAATATCAAGGAAAATAATTCTAATGTTAACAACAGCAATGCAAATAATGGAGGACCTATAGGATTGGGTGGATTATTTTCTAGTGGCATGCCTAAATTGAAACCTATAGGATCTAGAATGACTTCAAATGAAAAGAATACTAACAATATAAATAATATAAACTTGAGTCAATCAACTGTCCCTAGTATAAAAAGAGGTCCACCTCCAATTCCACCACCAGCTACTCAAAAGCCACAAATATTTGCTCAGGTAAAAATATTAAAAAAATTAAATGTCTAAATAAATTTTAAGATTTTGTTTAATGTTTTAGAAAACAAATTCAATACCAGGACAAAATACTACAGATTATACTAGTTCAAATACTGAAGCATCTAAAGGATTTGGAAAACCTACTCTTGCACCAAAACCACCTTCCACATCCTCATCTGCATTGCACAAACCATCACCACCTCCTAAAAAATTAAATTTAACTACTGGAGGAAGCGTATCAAGAGCACAAAGTATGCGATTACCTAGATCACCTCCTGTGCTTGCTCCAACTCCATCTTCTCTTCATCAGTCTCAAGATTGCCTAAATGAAACCCAACCAAGACCTACAAATCGAATACTTAGACCTCCAATCGCGAAACCTCCATCTCCTCCAACTTCTAGAACAAATAATAATACAATTAGCACTGCAACTAGAGTAGCACCACCACCACCTTCTAGAATAACTGTTAGTGCTCCATGTATACCACCTCCACCTCCTCCTCTTCCTCATCGTCCAACTCCTACTCATCAAAGATTGGCTCCACCACCACCACCACCACCGACACCACCTACAAGAAGTTCTTCTATGCGCAATGGACAGACAATGAACATTTTAGATTTAGAGCTTCGATTTGCTGATATGTTTCATTCTGTTGCAAATTTTCCATCACCAGAACCATTTAAAGGATTTACAAAAATCTACAGTAGCAGAAATGGTGAGAATGATACACTCCAATATCAATTGTATTCTTTCTTGAATCATAATATTAGACAATATACTGCAGAATTGTTTATGTAAATTTTATAATTAAAAACATTTGTACATCTAAAAATATTTATCATATTTTACATGATATTTTGCTATTAACAATTTATCATATTTATCATATTTGATTACACTTTTTATATTTATATTTTATAGATTAATTAATTTATTTTGTTTCATAAATGAAAAATTTATTTTTTTTTCTACAAAGTAAAATTATATTTGAAAAATAAATTGTATTAAAATTAAATTGTATATTAACTTAATTAATTTTGATTGTTTATTATATATTAAAATATATTAAGAAATTATAAATATTTTATAAACTAATTAAATCATTAGTATTAATGTTAATTACTTATATTGATGCATATTATGATGCACATTTTCAAAATCCAATTGCATGTTAAACTATTGATAATTCTTAATAAGCAAAATTAAGATTTATTAAGATAAAAATAATAACAATATTTAAAAATTCCAGCCGCAAAACAGCAAGCTCCTGCGCCACCAATGTCTTCTATATCCAATACAATGGTATCATTAAACACATCATCTGGGGGTTAATTGTGACAATATAGTACTTCTTTGACATATTAAAAGTTTACAAATAATTTGTTATATTTATTATGTCATATGATTAGTTAATAATTTTTAAAATATTACAACGAAAGAAAAATTTAAATGAAAAAAAAAATGGAATAAAAATATTAAAACCATTACATATTATAAAGTATTCAACATTTTAAGTTCATAAAGAATAACATATCGATTTTAATATTTTTCGTAGTTATATATTTTTCTTATAAATTTCAGTATATTATACTGTGTTAAATTAAACAAAAAATTATTTTTAAAAAAATAATTAATAATTTATACATAAATAATTGATCATATAAATCATGTATATCAATGTAATGTTTTGAGCGGTTTTATAAGGATAGAATCTTATATATCTTTATTTATAACAACGATTTTTTATTAACTAATATACAATATTAAATATCAGAATTCTTTTAGATATAATTTATTTTAGCTGGCAGTTAAACGATGTGAAACTTTCCTAATTCTATTGTTAAATCGAAGATTCAGTCTATTTTGCAAATTTTATGTTAATAAACAATGATTTTTCATAGTTCTTTCATAGCTTTATTTAAAATAGACAATATAATCTCCGCGACAGCATCGATAAATAAATCAAAAATATTCATTATCCCAATATAAAAATAAATATTTTTATTTTCTTGCAAGCTTCGAATTAATTGAAACTTTCACATCGGTAATTTAACTCGGAAAAATGCAAAAATTCATAATACAATTAAAATAATTTTTACATTTCGAGTTCCTTTTCAATAATCTTACGATATTCGTCAAAACCTCCTTCGATGCATCGAACAGAACCTTCAGCACATACCCAAAGTTCAGTGCATACCATGCGAATTAATCTTTCATCATGCGAAACTAATATAACACCTGCCTGAAAGATTTATTTAAAAAAATGATTGTAATATAATTTAAAATAGAAACAAATAAATTAAAAAGAAAAATTTTTACCTGACATGCATTTAGTGCTTTACCTAAAGCTTCAATAGATTCAATATCCAAATGATTTGTAGGTTCATCAAGTACTAAAAAGTTTGGCATAGCAGCACACATTAATGCAAATGCTACTCTAGATTTTTGTCCTCCAGATAAAGAATTGATAGATTGCAAAGCTAAGTTACCACTTATTCCAAAACTTCCAAGCATTCTTCTATATTCTTCAATTGGTTTTCCTAAAATAATCAAATAGTATAAAAGGATATAAAATTATAAATTTTCAATATTAATAATATATAAATTTCAAATAAATTCATACCTGGAAAATGATTTTGTAATAATTCAACTGGACATACGCGCATATCTAGTTGATCTACATGATGTTGACTAAAATATCCAAATTTTAAATTTCTATGAACATGTACTGTACCTCGTGTTGGACTTAATGCACCTGTTATGATCTTTAAAAGAGTAGTTTTACCGGCACCATTTTCTCCAACAATACAAATGCGAGATTGTAAACTAGCAGTCAAATTCACAGAACTAAATATATATGAATTATCATTTCCTCCAATATAACTAAAGGAGACTTCATTAAGTTGTAATATTGGAGGACTTAATGGTTCAACATCTGGAAAGCGAAGAGTTACTTCGCCTTCCTTTTCCATTGGTTTAAGTTCT